AATCCGAACACGGCCCCTACCTTGTGGAAACTTCAACTATATGCTGTCGGGGGTTGTAGTATGCCCTCCGACCTGTCCCCTTACCTCTGTTCGATTGATGGCTTGAAGCGACGGATGCTGGTGGCCTTTTCTGTAACGAAGAGGGTACTGTACGATGACTTTTCTAGCGTGAAAACAACACCCGCGAACGTCGGTCTGTTGCCTTCGCCTCGATCCCTTTGGGCTTGGTTCGATTCGAATGTAGACCGCTGATTCACGGACAAAACGATTCTGTGTCTCCATTGTGGGAGGCTTTTGATCCTGCCCGACAACGTTTATAACGCGCTCACCGCGCGAAGACTTTGTGGACACGACCCGTCTCCGAAGAGGCGGTGCTCCATATTTTCCTGTGATTATTAAACGTACCTCTTGCACATGTGAGCGGACGCCTGCCCCTTCGTCCGACCCTCTGGCCCCGCCTCTATTTCGTGGACGCAGCTGCTTTTGAACACGTGCGAGTGCGAGACCCCCGACGAGCAGCAGCAGGAGCTGGACATTATGGACGACGGCGACGACCAGGAGGACGAGGAGGAGCACGATGCGCAGCAACCGCAACAAGCGGAGGACACCCACGGCGACGGCGAAGGCGACGGTGATGATGATGACGATGACGTCAGCGACGACGAGAACGACGACGACTCGGTGCCCACGGCAAACCTGCCGTCGCCGCCGTCCCCGACCGCCGCAGCCCTCTCCGTCATCGTGCCCGGTCGGGCGGCTCTGCTGCGGCAGCAGGGGCTGCTGGACGCTGCCTGGGGCTCCTCGGTTACGGCGCAGGCGGCCACTGCCGAGAGGGGGCTCTGCGGCTGCGTGTCGGTGCTTGACGACAAGGGGGCGCTGGAGTTCAACACGGAGGACGTCGCGGCGCTGCTTACCCTCGCCCTCGGCCGTGTGCACCCGTTCATGCCGCTGGCCGCGCGGATCACCGTGGCCGCGAAGGAGGCCGGCTGGGACGGCTGCGGCGATGACGGCGATGAAGCCCTCGACGCTAGGGTCTGGGCGGCCGTACAGGAGTACACTCTCGAGGGCCGCCGAGCGGCTGCTGCTGAGGCTGCTGCATCGCCGACCCACTTGTTCTCCTCCCCGTCTGTTGCCGCGGCAACGCCGCCGCTGCTGCCCGTCGCTGTTTGTGGCGGTGGGTCATCGGCGGCGGAAGCGGGCGGCCCTTCCGCGGGTGGCGCCGCTGACAAGCTGCCGTCATCCGGTTTCGCCGTGAAAGGGGGAGAAGGTGAGGCGAAAGCGGATGCAGGGAGCGATGGAGCGAGAGCGTCCGTCGCCGACCTGGCCAGCCCGAGCGTGCCCGGCAGCAGGGGCTCCGTCAGTGAAGAAAACGGTTCGGCGGCGGGGCTGGAGCTTACGGTGGACGAGTCGGCGGATCTGCTAGAATTTGTGGCGGCGGCACGCTTCATCGCCCAGCTCCTCGCGGAGCCGGTGGTGGCCGCGGGCGTTGCGGGGGGCAGGTGGTCTTGCGCCATGCGCCTCTCGGAGCAGGTGCGGAAGCTGGCCGAGGAAGAGCAGCAGGCCCAGGAGGCGGTTGCGGCCGCCGCGAAGACCGCGCCGCCGACGTCATCGCTGAGCAACATGCTGTGCCTGGGAGCGCTGGCGGACGTGCAAGGGCTCGGGCTGGCCATGGCGCAGCAGGCCAGGTACGCGCCGGCCCTGGAGGCGGCGCTGAAGAGGGAGCTGCGGCAGGCGCTTAGGGGCGGCCAGGGGCTCAAGAGGCGGATCAAGCACCGTCTTCAGCTCCCCGGCGCCCCCGACGTCTTCTCCTTCCCGATGATCACCCCCGCCTGCCAGCTCATCCACTACGAAGGCGTTGTGGGATGCGTGTGAAGTTTGGTCGTGTGCCGTGGCAACAACGCGAGTGGCGTCGTTATTTAGGCGGGGGCTCGAAAGCAAGGAATGCTGCTGCATGCTACGTGCTGCTGCTGCTACTGCTGCTGCTGCTTCTGATTTCCGGAGTCATTTCTCTCAAGCGGTTACCATCATTTGGTAACGTAACAGGGTCAAGGTGGCTCTGGGAAAAGAGGTCGGGTTAGCTAGGTACTTCCGCCGCCGGTTTTGCTTCTCCTGGCGAGCTGGGTCGAGATGAACTCGACACCAGATTCGCCGCGGTTGCACAAGGCGGCAAGGCACCTACTGTCTGAAGCCAGCACCGCATGACAAGCTGTAGCAGGGAACGAAAGGGTCGGCGCTCTCTGGCATATAGGGTCGGGTGCTGATCCATTCGCTGCAATGATGGATCTAGGACGGGGGGGGGGGG